TGCCTGCCCCCTTGCGAGAGATGGGTTTGGTCTCGGTTAGGAGCTTTTGGGGTCGGTGTTGGTTCACCGGGGGAAATAATCTCTCCTCCGGGACGGGTCTCTCATGGGAAACCCTTCATTTCCTTCTTCAGGGGAGGACGACGCCGGTTGCTGGGACGGGAGGTGCCAGGGCCTGACAGCAGGCGGCACCGGAGCTGGGAACGGTTCTCAGCACCCTGGGACGTAGCCCACCAGGCTTGGGTCGGGGTGCCCAGGCCAACGCATCCAGCCGTCCCCGGGGGGGGCCCATGTTGCACGTAACATCTTTAATTGCTCCTCGTCCGTTGAGATCCTGGCAAGAAAGGGCAATCTTTGCATCATACCCAGAAGCAAACCCCAAGGCGCCGGGAGGGGGACGCAGCAACTCTGTGGCCACCCCTTCACCTAGCCTGGCTGAGGACCGTGAGGCAGGAGAGCCCACGGATGTGTGCAGGGATGTGTTCCCCTGGGCGGTGGTGCATGAGGAGCTGTTGGCAGCGTTTGAGTCCCCCTTCCCAGGTCTGGTCACGGCTGTGTCTTGGGGAGGAGATCCCCACACAAGGCTTGGTTTGAGCATCTCTTGGCTCTCTGGGGACTCGCTGTCAAGGTAGGGATGCACATGGGAGGGGATTTTCTTTGGCCAAAATGCTCGGAGCTTAGTGATCCTTCAGTCTCCCATCAGCATCCTGCTGGGAGCAGTTGTCTGGCTGGCAAGAGTCTGGAGTTGGGGATGATAGAACGCTTCCATGGAAAGGCGAAGAAGGTGACTTTTCTCTTAAAAATCTCAGAGCAGGTTGATTGCACTTGTTTCTACCCACGTCCTCACGCGCGCCCACATGTGGGTGCTGGGGTATTGCCAGGGTCACTAGAGTGCAACATGGATGAGGGATGTTGGCTGTTGAGTCCCTGCAGCATCTCCTGGCTTCCTCCTGACCGGTGATGAGGAGCTGCTTTTGACAGATCTGTTATGTGCTCTTTGGGATCTTCTGCCTCATTATCTCATCTCATAAATCTTCACCAAAAGTCCCAAGTCTCTGTGTACTTCTGTTTCCCATCTCTGGGTGTTTTATGCCTCCAGCTCTGTTCTTCATTTTCTTGTCACCTTATCTTTAGTTCTTCATCTTCCTGCTGTCTGCTTGCCTGATGAAGCCAGGCACACGATGCTCTGTGGCCATTAAAGCCGGTTCCTTTAACCCTTCCTGATACATTCACGTACAGATGTTTCTGTTCATATGGATGTTAACGTTTCTTACAATTGCTTGGCCCGCTTGGCTGCTGGTCGCAGGCTGTGTGCTGCTCGCGGGGGATCTTTATGGAGAAACGCACTCTGGGGATCCAGGTCCACCTTGCGGGTTTTAGGAGGCCAGTAAATCCCTCCTCTGTTACTGGGGGGGCCCACGGGGCATCGCTGCTTTGAAGGAGGAACATGTTGAAAGGTCTGTGCCCTCTGTGCAGGTCGGGCTTGACCCCATGGATGCGGTAGGGGTTTGTTACTCATTTTGGTGCAAAGTCCGTCTTCTTCCTAGCTTCTTCCTGTGTGACAGGCGGCCTCCCACGGTCAGCACGCCGCAGGTTGCTGTTCCCCGTGTGTGCCGTTTTGGCTGCGGCTTTGCGCGTGATGCAGGCTCCCACCATGCTTGGGAGGGCTGGATCGTGTGGCCTTCGGGGAGCTGATCGAGTGGATTTAACCCTTCCTCCTCGAGATCCCAGCAGGGAATGTCTCTGGGCAGCTCCTCACCTCGGCCTGGGGCGCTGCAGCCCCTTCCCGAGCCCCGGGGACCCTGTGTGCTCAGTGGCAGTGCGGGAGATGGGCGTTTATTTAGTTCCCACTGCCACGCCAAGGCACATGTTCTCCAGATTGCAGCAGCACGAGGGGCGACCTTGGGGCTTTCTTTGGGCATCTCATTCTGGGCCACGCTTGCCCTTTTGTTTGGAAAAGAGATCGGTGGAAAAATAGAGTCACTTTTTCCTTTTTGCATGCCAGACATGCCCTCTGTGGGCTTTTCTCTGTGTCAGGAGGGACACGGCCCCTCCGTGCTTGGGCAGGAGGTGGAGGGAGATAGCTGAGCACCACGCCTAGCTTCTTCCCTGAGTTTGGGCAGAAACCCACACGCGGCACCAGCTGCTTGTCAGCTCTGGCTGCTTCTTTTCTCACTGGTATTAAAAGCCCTCAAGGACTAGGCCAGGAAAATCAGAGGGCATAAACTGGGCACAGTCCTTTGGAGACACCCGTAGCCTCGGGTCCCTTCCCAGGGCAGCGCAGGTGGTCAGACAGGGTGAAGGGCTCCCCACGCGGGGATCGGGAGCAGCACCGTCCCTGTTGGATCGACCCCTGAACGAGATGCTCAGTGTTGATGTATCTGCGCTGAGCCCTGTTTGCTGATGCAGGCCGAGCTAGTGTTTCTGGCTGGCAGAGGCTGGGGTTTTTTTTTGCCTCCAAGGCTGGGTTGGCCCTGCCACGGTCACCCTGTGCTGTTTGACAAGTCTGGCGCGGTTGTGTACGAGGACGCGAGGTGTCTGTAGCGCCGTGGCGGTGGCGGCCTTGCACGGGACCCTGGCGATGGGGTGGCCCGTGGGGTCGAGCTAGCTGGGAAGTTAGGGCCCGAGAGGCACAGCGTGACTCAGTTTCCCCTTCTCAGAGCCAGGGTGTTGGCATGCTGGGTTTCCCCAGGTTGGGAGGCCGATGGGGTGACCCACCGTGCTGGCCCCAGCTCTGGGAGCCGCGTGGGTTGGGCAGAGTACCTTAGCCCTTGCAGCCCCCAGTGTGAGCGCAGGGGCTCCCTGAAGGTCTGCAGGGAGCTCCTCCTCCGCGCAGCAAGGGCTGGGGAGGTGGCGCAGGGTCCCACCAGCAAGGACTAGCCTGAAATCAGCCCAGAGCCGGCCAGGAGAGGTGTCCCTCAGGCTCTGGGGACCTGTTGTCTCGCCACCAGCATCTCCTAGAGCTGGGGCGTCTCCGGCTGATACTGGTAGAAGGAGCAGCGCTGCTGAGAGGGGTGCTCATCCAGCTGCCTGCGGGTGCGCCCCTTGCAGACCGAGGGGTGGTGGTGGCCAGTCTTTCAGCAGAGATCCCTTGTCATGTGCGGGTGGCATCACTTGCCCTGCCCGGTGCTGTTAACAGCGACACGGTGCTCCTGCTCCTTGATCCTCCTGCACCGGGCTCGTGCGAGAAGCAACACGGACACATGCAAGACGTGACATGTTGCACACGAGCGTGCAAGAACCAGCAGGGCACGCGAGCAGCCGGATGCGTGCCTGCTCCTTGATCCTCCTGCACCGGGCTCGTGCGAGAAGCAACACGGACACATGCAAGACGTGACATGTTGCACACGAGCGTGCAAGAACCAGCAGGGCACGCGAGCAGCCGGATGCGTGCGTGAGCAACCCGTCCCTTGAGCGTTGCACAAGCAGCGCGAGGGCGTGTTGGTGCCAGAAGACACGGTGGGT